CAAACCCACTGCCGAGGAGTATATTCGGACTCATAGCAACCCTATAGGACAGAGTAGAACTGCCCCATAGGGTTTCCAAGCCTGTAATCTTTATGGAAGCTGACTGCCCCATCTGTCTCCTGCAGAGTGGCTGGTGGATTCCAACCACTGACCTTTTGATTAGCAGCCATGTGTTTTAACCACTGTGCCATTAGGGCTCCTATGAGTGATATAGATGATCATTATTTTCATAAACCTGTATATTTTTACTTCCTCATTAGTCTGTAAAGAGATTAATTTGAAAACCTGGCATATTAAGGTAGAACTAAAAAAAAAAAAAAAACCATTGCCAATGAGTCAATTTTGACTCATAGCAACCCTATAGGACACAATAGAATTGCCCTGTAGGGTTTCCAAGGAGTGGCTGGTGGATTTGAACTGCTGACTTTTGGTTAGTAGCCATAGCTCTTAATCACTGCACCACCAGGGCTCCTGAGGTAGAACAGAGATTCGGAATTAACACCAATGTGTCACAAGAGTGAACACCATTGTAGAATGGTCCATGATTACTTTGTCTTTCTTAAATCCATTTAAGAAAGTCTCTCTGAAACTTGCACATAGAGTCTCTGTTAAAGCAGACCCTTGGTTAGATATTAAATAAAGAAAAGAGAGAGAAACGTAGGGAGAAAACAGAGTGATGAAAACTATCCTGTTTAATGTAATTACTTATACATTATGCTAAAAAATAATAATATATTCCATTAAGGAGAACTGCCTCAGAGCCTGGTGAAGTTGTTACATAATACAGTAAATGCTATAACTGTTTTTCCTTAAGGAATATAGATAAAGGATTGTGGACATGATAGACCAGGAATTCTCCCAAAGCCTGTGAGGTCTGTAGAAATAGAATAGACAGGTCCCTGCCCTCAAGACACCAGCTACTGAGATAACATTGGATAACACTTGTCATGAATTGAATTGTGTCCCCCAAAAATATGTGTCAAGCTGGCTAGGCCATGATTCCCTAGTATTGTGTGGTTGTCCTACATTTTGTGATCTGATGTAATCACCCTATGTGTTGTAAATCCTAACCTCTATGATGTTAATGAAGCAGAATTAGAGGCAGTTATATTAATGAGGTAGGATGCAAACTACAGGATTGAGTTGTATCTTGAGTCAATCTCTTTTGAGATATAAAAGAGAGAAGGGAACAGAGCAGAGAGGGACCTCCTACCACCAAGAAAGCACAGCCAGGAGCAGAATGTGTCCTTTGGACCTGGGGTCCCTGCACTGAGAAGCTCCTAGACCAGGGGAAGTTTGATGACAAGGACCTTCCTCCAGAGCCGACAGAGAGAGAAAGCCCTCCCCTAGAGCTGGTGCCCTGAATTTGGGTTTCTAAACTCCTACACAGTGAGAGAATAAATTTCTGTTTGTTCAAGCCATCCACTTGTGATATTTCTGTTATAGTAGCACTAGTTAACTAAGACAGAGGGATGGGCAGGATTGTGGGCAGGCTTGGGTAAGCAGCAGAGTAGAAGAAAGTATCATCTTGAATTGAAAACTTAGGTTTCTTTGTATAAGTTATATAGCATCTCTGAGTTTCAGTCTTCCTCTTTTTTTTTTTTAAATGAAATAGAGGTTATAAGATATGTATATGACCAAAAAAATTTTAAGAATCAGAAAAATACAAGAAAAGTACTAAGGCAGGGTACAAACTAAATAAATGGTTAGTTTCATTTTTAATATATATGTGTATAATACACAAGTATAATAGCCATATTATCACATTATATGTATATTACATTATACATATATAACAAAGTACATATACTAATGATATTTTAACATATATTATTTATATATATGTATTTATAAGCATGTTGTCATTGTGTGCCCTCGAGTTGATTCTGACTCATAGTGACCATATACGACAGAGTAGAACCGCCCCATAGGGTTTCCTAGGCTGTAAACTTCACAGGAGCAGATTGCCAGGTCTTTTCTGCTGTGTAGCTGCT